TGGTGACAAGAAAACAGAGAGGAGATTTTAGTCGCTAAGAACAGGCTTACAATAAATTGTGGTGTCCTCATGAGGTACACCTCTGGGCTTAGAGTCATTTCAGAGTCTGGTGTCCCAGCCTTCAGCCTGAATCCAAGGATCTGCTAACCTTAACCTAGAGTTTTGCAAAGCCTGTTTTTCTTTGTCATTGATTTTTGATAATTTTAATACAATGTATCTTGGTGAAGGCCTTTTTAGGTTGAGATAATGGAGTGTTCTATTGACTTCTTGAATTTCAAGCTCCAACTCATTCCTTAGATTTGGGAAATTCTTGTCAACTATTTGTCTGAAAATGCTTTCTAATTCCTGCTCTGTTTCCTCCCTTTCGAGAATGCCCATGATTCTTATGTTTTCTCTCCTGATGGTATCAACTAGTTCTTGTATTTCTCTTTCATTGTTTTTTATTCTTCAGTTGCTCTCTTCTTCTGATTTATTTCTAGATTTCTGTCTTCAATATCACTGATCTTTTCCTTCATCTGGTCGACTCTATTTCTCAAGCTTGCTATTTTATTTTTCATCTCTTGCAGTGTGTTCTCCATCTCCAGAAGTTCTATTTGGTTCTTTTTGAGGGTTTCAATCTCCTTGCTAAAGAATTCATTCTGCTCATCTACTTATTTTTTCAATTTCTGAAATTGTTGATATGAATTGTTTTGGATCTCACTGAGTTTTTTCAGAAGTACCATTCCGAATTCTGTCATTTAAGTCTCATATTTCTATGCCTTTAAGCTGATTTTCTGGAGGTTTTTCTCTTTCTTTCTGAGCTCCCTTGTCACCTTGGTTGTTCATGGTGTTTAATGGACTACTTCTCTGCCTGGGTATTAATGGAAGTGTATTCTGCTTTTTTTTTTTCCCAGTAAGATTTATTATATAAAGGTCTTTTATCCCGTTGCAAAGAAGGCTTTTTCTTTTGGTTTCCAGTAGGTGGAGTCTAAGCCTCTTGGATCCTTACTTTATATAAAGTCTTAATAATGCCCTTTTCTTTCTTATAGATATTCAATCACACTCGCTACCCTCAGTCTCAGTCCTTGCCAGTGTTAGTGACAGTTTCGGTAGCATTTGCTCAGATTCTCCTGGGGTTCCGTGGCGTTGGTCTCGGAGGATATAGGGAGAGGGGCCCTCTGGGTTGGAGGATGGGGGCTGTGGCTCAGCCTCACGTTTTGCATCTGTGGCTTGTAATAATCAAGTGTTGCTTCTCTGCTGTCCCTGCTTCTCTGCTTTCTGTCCTGATGCCTTGGCACTGCCGCCAGCTGCGTGGAGCTCACAGATCTCCCAGGCAGGGTCATTCAGGGAACTTGCTGCACCTTCTCCACCCTCTCTCCTCCTGCAGGGAGCTCTGGCTGTGAGGGGAAGCTTCTTTGTTTCTCCCAGTCCACCGTTGGACTCTCGGGGTTCTGGCCTGTAGCTCTCATGAGCAGATCCCATGCTCAGATGTGGTGGTGTGCGCTTTGGGTATTTTTTGTTGAGTTTTAGATGTTCAGCTTATTGTTGTTTCAAGGGGAGAGATCTGAGGATGTCTCTCATTCCACCATGTTCTGGTCACTGTCTCTGAAAAGCCTGTTTTTATCCCAAATGTTATCGTCCAAAAATACTGGTTCTTCTTCAGTCCCTAAGGTTCACATTTCTCTAGGTCATTGAACCAAGTCAGCCACAAACCAAAGATACCTTTGACCTCCAATAGTAGCACAGTCAAGATGTCATCTCTGAGCAGCAGTCCTCAGTCAGAATATTTGGAACATGACCTGTACACAGAAGCTGATTAATGGCTGATTGGTTGATTGACCATAGAGAAGTAAATGAGTAACAGCAACTAACAAGGCTGCCTCAACCATACTCTACCCCTGTGATCACCTACACGTGGCTCCCTGATCTCAATAATTCAGAGACTCAGGACGCTGACCTTAGCTGCTTGGGTCGTTTGCTTATCTACTCTGTCTTACAATTTATCTCACAACAAACCGTTTAGCAGAGGTACAAATCTCTTGGTTCAAGGCAAGAAGCTCCTTGGTCTGTAACAGTCCTCTTAACCCCCACCCCCCGGTGCTTGTCAAGGCTGAGACGGATTAAGGGAAAGCAGATCTGCATTCTCCAGGCCACAGTGCATGAATACAGGTGCAGTTCTAGATATACGTCCATCGAATTGGCCATAGAGATTTTTCTTAAGCCAAAATAAACACTAGCCACTTTGCTAGTAAAAATCTGAGCAACACACACACACACACACACACACACACACACACAGAGTAGAGCAAGGTTAGCAGCTCAGGCCTCAAAATCAGGCAGGCAGAGGTCCAGTGCCAGTTCTTCTGTCATCAGAAGGTCTTTGGGCAAATTATTTATCATTTCTTAGTCTTTATTTTCTTATCTGTAAAATAGAGATAATATCTACGTTGGAAAGTACTTGGTAAAATAAAGTGACTAATTGCCTGCTACAGAGAAAGAACCTTACCATGATGTCAAGATCAATGGCTTTCACTTTGTGAGAGGTCTGCTCTATGTACTGTTCGTATCGAGGCATGGGTTTCTCAACCTCTATACTTTTGATATTTTGGCCAGAATAATTATTTGTCCTGTGTATTACAGGATGTTTAGCAGCACCCCTGACCTCTACTCCTCAGTTGCCAGTAGGTCCCCTCCCCAATTGTGAGAACTGAAAATGTCTCTAGACATTGTCGAGTATCCCATGGGGATCAAAATCACCCCCAGTCGAGAACCACTAGTCTAGAGCTTCTCAGTCTTGGGTGTCCAGAACTTCAGAGTACCCAGGAAGACTTTTCTGGAAACTCAGTCATTGCTTCTTTGTAATGCCATATTGATGAGTTTATTTTTTATACCCTTACTAGAAAAGTTTTATTACTTATAAATATTACTCATATCCTGCTGCTGTAAGCATTAATTTCTATGATTAAGAAAAAAAAAAAAGGCTTTTTGTCATCAGGGGAAAGGAGGCAGTGAATAAAGCCAAATCAATGTATAACACCATTTTTGAATTTAGAAATTAGTACTCATAGCATTTGCGAGGCCTAAATTCCGCTGAGACTTTTGAGTTTGGGCCGCTATAGACTCTACTGAGGGGTGCCCTGCAAATGGGTGGCCAGTTGACTCTAGAATTTAGAATATGCTCTTTGAAAACCCATGGTCCTTGGGAATTCTGGGTGACCAAGTTATGTAGAAATAATGGTAATGGTTATGGTTTATCGAGTGCTTGTCATGTTCCAAGCCCTCTGCTATGATCTATAACTATTTCTCATTTAAACCTTATAATAAAATTATCTCTAT